TATGTGCTGGAATGAGTTCTTAGCTTCATCTTATTAAGTTTTGGAGCAAATAACAAACAAGTTAAATAAGCTTGACAAAGTTTTTTCACTACTTTTACGATGTCAATCAATTGGTAACATGTTAAACTCCATGCACGATGATGCCATTTAAAGGAAGTTGGTTCCAGTTCAGTTCTATTAAGGCTGCAGAATCGTATTTATTGATTTTTAGTCCCCAAATATGAATCATTATATCTGTTCCACTCTACTCAGACCCCCAACAAATTCATTACTATGTGGATTCATCATAAATTGATTATATTCCTGCAGCCTTAATCAACTACAAGGTAAGTGCTAAACATAATGGTTGACCTTCTCCTAACCTTGCTTACCCTGGCTACACTTTTCATAATATTAGTTAAGGAATATTACTCTCTCAAATTTTTTCTGGTTGTATTGGGTCGGGGAGGGTGGGACTGTGGTTGAAGGGGCGTTTCACTTGGCAGAGGTGCCAGTTGATACCTCAAGTGATGATTCCAGATATCTGTTTGGTAGTCATCCTTGTTTTTTCTTTATTTTCAATGTGATCTTATCATCCTGCCCAATTTGATGATTCTCTCATCTACCAAATTACTCTAGGACATCTGCACTTTGGATATTTCTCCAAGCTAATGTTATACATTTGCACTTTAGCAAAACTATGTATTTCAAAACGAGAATCTGCTCAAGTACGAATGCTTAAGATTGCTCAGTTTTAATGAATTACACCCAGATTTCTATACTTCATGAATGATTTTTGGCATTTCTCTATGTTCTCTGTTATGATGGAAGAGAGACAACAAAAAGTTGAAGGTGTTCAGGATTCCATTATTGCCCTTTGAGGTGTTGAGTTCCGGTTAGACCTTTTTGAGTTTCTATCTTTTGAAAGGTGTTTACAGCAGGCCAAATCGGGCATGTGGAAACATGATGAGGGGTTTTAGATAGTGGTGTTGCCTTTTTTTACTTTGAGAATGCCTTGATCCACTATTATAATGATGCTGTAACTGTTAATGATGTGCTTGATCCTCTCTTTTGTACTTCTATAGTACCTTCTTTGTACTTCATATTATAAAATACCTTATTTTACGACAGAAAAAAGGAGTTGAGGTAAGGAGTTTGCAATCTTATTACTTTGCTCCGCAACCACGCCAGACGTTTTCTCTTTTTCCTTTTGTCGAGGCATGGATTGCTCAAGCTTGTAAACAAGCCATTAAAACTCGGTATGCATCAGCCTTGTTATCTTTGCAGCGCCCCGAGACAATGAATTGTCTTATAGAAACCAATTTGTTTTCCTTTATGCAGTTAATTTCACTGCCTGGGAGTTGGGGACATGACAATTGGCACTGAGATCTTCTAGGAGGAATGATTGCAGCAAGTAACAGCAGAGTATTTGATCTAAGAAAATGAAGTGTTTGTTATGTTGTATGTAGGGTATGTTTCATACTTGATGTTTATAGATGCTCTACTGCAATATGGATGCTCATACCGCATTTATATACAATGTTCACAAGACCGGCGAAGCTATCATTTAGTAGTTGAGAATCATAATGGGAATTGGGAGAAATATTTGAGAAGTGATGCTGTTGAAAGGGGCTTAGCCCCACCCCGTCATTGGCACCACCCTCAATTCTGTGTTTCTATGTATAACAACATGCCTCTTGAATTCAAAGTATAATTAGCCGGAGAATATGCCTTTTCAGTCTATGCGTTAATCCTCGTGTTTTTGTTTGTAATCGTGGTTGCATTTTCTTGTTGTTTTACTTATGGCTTTCAGAGAACTTATCTAAAGTTAGCTGTGTTTGAATTTGTATTTTCAGTCTGTTAATCCTTGTGTTTGTGTAGTCTATATGTTTAAAAAGCACAGCCGAAACTCCTCTGTTGATGTAAGAATTCCGACGGTAGACGCACTGAAATTTGTTCAATCATTTATCTTATTTGTCAACTACTAAGCTTCCGTAGTTTTTCCAACTGAAAATAGTGCCGATGTTAACTCTCCATGGAAGAGGCGCTTCCTTCTCACTCGATAGGGGGGATCATCAAGCCAACACCATAGTTCATTAAGAAGCAATTATTGTTTAAAATTTAATTGATAGTAGCTCAGATCTTGATTCTTTTTGCTATGTGACAATCAACCTACTAACTTTGTCATACATTAAAATAATTCATTTAAGATTTTAACTTTTCGAACAAAGAGCATGGTAATAAACATTCTTTAATCCCCGACTTGAAAGGATTCATCTGGAGCTTTTTCGGGTGACTCGTATGAGAGCCCAAGTAGGGATAACAAGGCGGCTGTTAAGTTTAATGCAACGATCTTTTATTATGTCTCTGTTCACCTATCATTCTTATATAAAGCGCATGCACATTACCTCATCCGAAAGATTAACATCATCCAGAACTTGTTCAATCAAACTTCGTAGCTTCTGCATGGTCGGAGCTACAAAGTAGTAACACATTTCTAACTAGGATAGAACGGAAATACTGTTGAACAAGAACACATAAAATAAGCAACCACAGTAGCTTCATCTATCCAAATCGGTCCATCCAAACAAATCGCAATCCACATTCAGAAGATATGAATAAAAACTTCATACCGTTCCCACAAACCAGAAAGAAAATAGAACAGAGTTCAAAAAGCCTACATATTCTGGAACAGAGAGTCCTCAGAAGCCCATCAATGGTGGGAAAAAATGGGACACCAGTACATAGGAAAAAAGAAAAATCATAGCTGCATCCACAATGCTGTCTGGGAAGGCTGATTACTCTCTTAATCAAAGGTCTCATCATCGTCATCTGGGAGGGGTTGACTGGCAGCAGCTGCAAGCTCAGCCTCATGCCTGCAACAACACATCACAGTTACAATAACATATGGAAGACATGAAATCAAAATCTAAATAAAACTGGAAGAGAAGAGGTAAATTGGTGAAGAACTTACTGTTGCTGTGCAGCCAAGTCGATTTGTACTTCAGGAGGAGCAAGGGCAGGAGACTCCACAAAGTGCAAGTTAGGATCCCTAAAACAGGAACATCATATTGAAAACATCATCAAAATCTGATTCTACTATGTTTCTTCTACAGAATGGCACATTTTAGCTAATAGTCGAATGATCTACTATGTTTCTTCTACAGAATGGCACATTTTAGCTAATAGTCGAATGAAGAAAGTACCCAGCAAGTTTCCTGGCAAGGTAAAGAAAAGGCTTCTCAAAGTTGTAGTTACTCTTTGCCGATATCTCATAGTATTGCAGATTCTTCTTCCGGTGGAAAGTAACCTGCTTAGCCTTAACTTGACGGTTCTTCACATCAACCTTGTTCCCGCAAAGAACAATCGGAATATTTTCACAGACACTGATTCAACAGATGTAAATATCTATCAGTTTGAAAACAAAACAAGAAAGTTTGAAAACACAAACCAGAGAATAAAATCAATTGAAAAATAGGATGCTTAGACATACCGGCAAAGATCCCTATGCCATGTGGGGACATTCTTGTATGTCAATCGGGCTGTCACATCAAACATGATGATAGCACATTGACCGTGAATGCTGCAGACATGCAGTAAAAAATCAATATGGAATACACACAGCACACTTGAAAATACATAGAGATTCCATAATGGTACTGTAAAAAGAACACTGAACAACCTTCTGCTATGCTCATTTTACAAAAACAGTAGACCCTTACAGCTGATAAAAGAGATGCATTTAACCATACAACATTCCACATTGGGTTCAATCAGCATGTAATACATCTCACTTTAATCTTGGAGAATGGTAAGCTATTTATGGGAACCCAAGAAATACCCTAACAAATTACTTTAGGTCCATTTTTTCCTCAAAAAATTTATTTAGGCTCATTCACTTAGCATATAATTAGCAGTTGGAATTAAAACCACAAAAGAAACGGGTTATATTGGAGCAATACATATCGCCTCATAAAACAACAATGGAATAGGTATTTTTTAAGTATTGCATATAACGTCATTGCAAATTATAGCTATACCAATAACAAAGAGTACAGAGTGAAATTAAATGGAATGATTACTTACTAGTATCCATCCCTAAGGCCACCAAATTTCTCCTGACCAGCTGTATCCCAGCAGTAAAACCTAATCTTCCCACAGTTTGTGAAGAAATCCAATGGGTGCACCTCCACTCCAATGGTGGCTGTTCCAAAATACAAAATTAAAATCAGTATTACAAAGACAAAAGGCCAAGAAATAACAACCAAGTTGTGCTTCATACAGCAAACACTTACGTTCATATTTCTTTTCGAATTCACCAGTAAGATGCCTCTTCACAAATGTAGTTTTTCCTATACAAAAAGGAAAACTTCCAAATCAGATGAGCAATTAAAAAACAAGAAAAAAACTAAACAGTTTAATCCACAAAACCATCATTCCTTTTCCAACCCAACATAAAAACTAGTTAGAACAGCAGCTCAATAGATCTAAGACTTTCACTAACCATACTGATTTAGAGCCACGTATAAACATACTCTCATTAGAGAATTCACTTATACCGAAATCAAACAAATCATTCTAATCACAGCCTAAACACACTTCAAATTAATTAAGATACAAGACTTACTCCTCAAAGAAAGAGAGAAAAATTACCAGTTCCACCATCGCCAACAATAACAAGTTTAAAACTGGGATAATCCACGGTTTGCTGATTTGGAAGAGCCTACACAAAAAACGATCCACATAAATTACAAGACATTCAGATACATAAAAAAAAACACAAATCGACAAAAGAAAAAACTAAATATATAACAGTCCAAAATAGCAGCAAAAACAAAACTTTTGAGAGATAAAGATAGCGTACTAACCATGTTTGTTTTGAGGAGAATGCTGCGAGGGTTTTGAGAGGAATGAGGAGGATTAAGGAGGAGGGATATATATAGTTGGGAGAAAAAGGGTTTTGTAATCAGCGTTTTCGTTCACATCATAGCTTTGCCCAAACGCGATTCTCTGGACCGTTGGATCAGTCTGTTCCTCGATTCGGCGCTGCTGCACGTGACTCTCACGTTCTTCTCCAAATTTGAATTTCAAACTACAAGAGCTTTGTTTTTTTTTTCCAACCGTAAGTTTGGTTGGATAATTAAAACCATTATGTGATTATTTAAATAACGGAAAAATTATTTGAATAAGTAACAGTTAAATATTTAATAATTACTATTACTATTTTTTGCACATGCAACAAAAAATTCGATTCAGAAACAGGTTAATTAGACATCTAAAATATAACTTGTTTTCGAGAAGGTATAAAAGTTCTGAACACCAAGTATCATACTCCTGAAAACTTTGATTGTTTTTGGTTGAATAGTTCTCACTAACTAACATAAGTTTTTAATTTAAAAAATAAGCTTATTTTGAAAAGTGTTTTTCTTAAAAGTATTTTTTGTGAGAAATTATTTGTATTTGGCTAATTAATTTTAAAGGCACTTCTAAGCAGCAATTAGTATTTGGTCAAATTTTTAAAAAGTATTTTAAGTGTATTTTTCTCAAAAGTATTATTTTAAAAAAGTACTTTTAGGAAAAAAACTATTTTTTTCTGCTTCTCTAAAATTGTTTCTGCTTCTATCCAAGAATATTTTTTTTTCTTCTAAAAATTTAGTCAAACACTTCAACTTTAAAAAAAATATTTTTTCTTATAAAACAAATACTTTTGACTTCGTAAAAACTTGACCAAACAACCTATTAGAGTAGCACCACTCAAGTGTTAACCTTAAATTCTTCTCACGCTACGGCACGGTTTTCAGCATAACACATTTATGATCATGGTCTTCTGACATAAAGTTTGCCCTCTTGTGTTTTTTAGCTAGGATCTTCCGGAAATAATCTTTCTACTATTATAAGATATGGGTAAGGATTGTGTAAACACTATCTTTTTCAAACTCCACTTGTAAGATTTCATTGAATTTGTTATTGTTGTCGACATAAAGTTTCAGCATAAAAATAAATCGTTAAGTCTTTTGGAATACTTAATTAGGTTGTGAAGAATAATTCAAACCAAATTGCTTCTTACAATTAAGGTATTAGAATTCTCAACTTGAATCCGTATAAAAAAGATTGGTGCATGTCATGATTTAAAGCTCAAAATCACATTTATATGAAATATTTGGCGACCTTAATCATGTTTGTAATTATGGCCAATATTTTGGCTAATGGTGTCCATCTCACATAAGCATAAGCATCTTTGCAAAGTTTAAACTTTGTTAGCAATATTCTTTGGGACCCAAAAATATTGCATTGTGTGGTGGACATCATTTGCACAAGTTGTATCTCTTCTTTTACACCTAAGAAGCCAACACTTTTTTGCATATAAAAGGGAAGGTCATTAGTTCATTTTAGACACACCAACAAGACTTGAGTCTTCATTTCTTGTTTATTCCTTTCCTCATTTATTAAGAGTGTTTTGTATGAGAGTTAAGTGTTGGGAAGCACTTGTGTGAACCATTTCTTTTGAGTGATCTTGTGAGGTTATTCTCTTAGGGTATTTGGGATTAATTAGAGTATTTACTCTAATTTTATACTCTCTTTTGTACTCTTGTTGGTATAGTGAAATTGCTCATCTCCGCTAGTAGACGTAGGTCACTTTGACTGAACCACGTTAAATTTATGTCTTTTTATATGATTTAATTGTCGTTGTTATCAACTTTCATTATCTTTGTTATTATCATTATACCATTGTTTGGCTAAATTCCGCATTACCCGAGTTTCCGATCCTAACAAATTGGTATCAGAGCCGAATCTAACCGGATTTATTTCAGTAGCTAATATGACTTTAACAAAGACTTATGTTGAGAAATTTGACCGAAGTGCAAACTTCACAATGTGACAATTAAAGATGGAACCTATCTTAATTCAGGATGGCTTAGACTTGGCGTTGCAAGGAAAGGAGAAGAAGCCGGATAAAATGACGAACGAGGAGTTTGCCTTCATAAATAAAAAGGCAAAATCACGTATCATCTTAAATCTCTCGAATGAGGTTATACATGAAGTTTCTGTAGATATCACAGCCAAAGGCATGCGGAAAAAAATAAAAATCTTATATATAAAGAGGACAGTGAAAAATAAACTTTACTTGAAGCAGAAGCTTTATACAATTCGTATGGGTAAAAATACTTCTATTCTCTCACATCTTGACACCTTTGATTCCATTCTTATGGATTTGAGTAATATAGATGCTGAAATTAAAGATGAGGATCAAGCTGTGTTACTCTTTTGTTCTCTACCCCCATCTTTTAAGCATATAAGAGATACTATGCTTTATGCAAAGGATAATATCTCTTATAATGATATTAAATCTATCTTAAAATCAAAAGAATAGATAGATAATGATATTACTAGGAAAACTAGTGGAACTCAAGCAGAAGTTGGCTTATTTGTTAGGGTCAAATCCGACTCCATATCCAGATATAATAATTTAGAGTGTCGCTATTGTCATAAGAAAGATCACATTATCTCTGAATGCTATAAGCTGAAAAATAATGAAAAACATAAGGAAAGAAAAAATGAGTACAAAAATACTGACACTACCGAAGCAAGTGTAGCTGCTGATGAGACTGAGAGAACTGTTATTTTAGCAACTAATAATAGTTTCAAATCTAACAATGAGTGAATTTTAGATTTGGGTTGTTCTTATCATATGTATCCCAGTCGGAATTTATTTACCACATATGAATCTATTGGAAGTGGAGTTGTCTTGATGAGTAACAATGTTGCCTGCAAAGTTTTTGGAAAGGGTACAGTCCGAATCAAAATGCATGATGGTGTGGTGAGAATTCTCACCGATGTTAGATATGTTCCTAACTTGAAGAAAAATCTCATCTCTTTGTGCACTCTAGAATCTCCTAGGTGCAAGTACGCAGGTGAAGGTGGAGTTCTGAAAGTTTCTCATAGTGCTCTTGTGATCATGAAAGCACACAGATCTGGTTCGTTGTATACTTTATTGGGATCCACTATTATAGGCCCTACTACAGTTTCGGTATCAGGCAACTTGTCTGATTTTGATGGCATTAAATTTTGAGATATGCCCATTGGGGCTTTTGCGGAGAAGGTGGAGCAAACTTACTATATCTGCCAAAATTAGGCCAATGTGGAGATTTGTAATTATGGCCAATTTTTTGGCTAATGGTCGTCATCTCACATAAGCATACACATCTTTGCAAAGTGTAGACTTTGTTGGCAATATTTTTTGGGACCCAAAAATATTGCATTGTGTGGTGTACATTATTTGCACAAGTTGTATCTTTCTTTTACACCTAAGAGGCCAATACTTTTTTGCATATAAAAGGGAAGGCCAATAGTTCATTTTAGGCACACCAACAAGACTTAAGTCTTCATTTCTTGTTTCTTCCTTTCCTCATTTATTAAGAGTGTTTTGTATGAGAGTTAAGTGTTGGAAAGCACTTGTGTGAATCCTTTTTTTAGAGTGATCGTGTGAGGTTATTCTCTTAGGGTATTTGAGATTAATTAGAGTATTTACACTAATTTTATACTCTTGTTGGTATAGTGAAATTGCTCCTCTCCGCTAGTGGACGTAAGTCACTTTGACCGAACCACGTTAAATTTGTGTCTTCTTTATATACTTTAATTGCCGTTGTTATCAACTTTTATTGTCTTTGTTATTGTCATTATACCGTTGTTTGGCTAAATTCTGCACTACCCGAGTTTCCGATCCTAAGTTGATTATTTCTATTGAAACTTCATTTTATAGCAATTAGAACTTATTGTTCTATTGAAAGTGCATATTTCGTGATAAGGCTATAAATTTAAGCTACATGCATGTTGATATCTTACTTGCTCAAATGAAAATTATGTTTATCAAATCATTTAACTATTTGACGTTTCATGCAACTTATGTTGGCCAGATGTTGTCAAATTAATAAACCTTTTTAAGATTGATTCAACTAAAATTTGCAGTGTAATGAAACTTTTGCAATATCAGCTTACTCTATTGTAAAAAAGTAACTTGCCTTATATATTTTCAAGTTACTTATTCCAATTGCTATGACAAAATTACTTACTATTATCTTTCAACTGTTCTAACTGTCACAAAAGTAGACTATTTCCAAATATATCTATTTTTGCACTTTTATCTTGCTTTAGATTAATCCATTATTTCCCCAACACATAACAATAGATTCTTTATTCGCATACGTATAGATACTGGTATTTTCTCACTATATCTTAGGCATAAAATTTAATATGAATTTCTACCTGGGGACTGTTAAAATTGTTTCTAATTATTTTTCAGTAAATTCACATGTTACCTAAATTTTGCAAAACTATGGTTCATGTAACTATTTAATGAGCATATTGCATTTTAGTATCTAGTCTGTAACGATTAATTCGTTTTATCTTTTTTATTAATTGTGCATAAATCAAATGTCCTAAATTAAAATTTTGGTGTAAATATGGAACTCTGTCAGCTGTAAATGAAAAAAAGGCCATGTGATCCGGTATATCCACTTATCAGCCGGAAAGATAGTAGGGGTATTATACTTTTAGCCCACGCCAGAAACTATTTATATTCGATAGCCGAAAAAGTGTATAAAATTTATATAATTTTTGTATATAACATACATAATGTATACATATACAAAAAATACATATTTTTTTGGCTATTATTTTGAGAGCGGCTATACAGTGTCATTTTCTCAGGATAGTAAAATTTTTGCTTTATGCTCCAAAAAATTTTAATAGTGGATTTTATGATATTCTTTTAGCTTAGACAGTATTAAAATTTGAAGGAAGAAAGAAATAATTTTAAAATCTTAATAAATAAATAAATCAAAGATATAAATCAAAGAGTGCCTACTTTTTGACATTTAAAATATTTTAGAACTTTGATTTTAAGCCACTCAAATATTTGTATTAGTAAATAAAAATTTTACAACGATATCCTAGATATTGTATTGCAAACACATGG